AAATTTTTTGTAGAAATGGGATCTTGCTACTGCTATATTGCTCAGGCTCATCTAGAACTCCTGGCCTCAGGCGATCCTCCCACCACAGCCTCCCAAAGTGCTGGGATTATAGGCTTTAGCCACTGAGCCAGGCCTGGAGAGTAGTTTGAAACAGAGGAAGTAAAGGAAGGTCACATGTCAGCCTTGCACACTGGCCTGAGCTATTTGCCCAACAGGTGCTACATTTGAAACTACAGCTCAGAAAAAGGAATTCCTCCATATGGACAGGGAGTGGAGCCAAAAGCAACCTACACATTCCTGCCTTTGACTACACTAGCTCTAGAGATACCTCCTACTATGAGGAAGAATTAATGGAAAAAAAATAACCTGATGCCTATGAAAAAAATAATATGCCACAAGGCAATGGAGGCTACTCTGAAGAGCAAGATCTAAAACTAACTTACAAGAATTCTTCCACATGGAAACTATATCATTATGATGTGTCAATACAGATTCATCAGTTGTGACAAATGTGCCACTCTGGTAGAGGATGCTGCTAAGGAAGGAGGTTATGCATGTGTGGGGGCAGGCGGGTATATGGGATATTTCTATACCTTCCTCTCAGTTTTGCTCTGAATCTAAAACTGCTCTCGAAAAAATAAAGCTTTGGCCAGGCACAGTGGCTCATGCCTGTAATCCCAGCACTTTGGGAGGCCAAGGTGGGCAGATCACCTGAGGTCAGAAGTTTGAGACCAGCCTGGCCAATGTGGCGAAACCCCATCTCTACTAAAAATACAAAATTAGCCAGGCGTGGTGTGTGCGCACACCCATGTAATCCCAGTTACTAGCAAGGCTGAGGGAGGAGAATTGCTTGAAACTGGGAGGTGGAGGTTGCAGTGAGCCAAGATCATGCCACTACACTCCAGCGTGGGCAACAGAGAGAGACTCTCTCAAAAAAATAAATAAATAAAGCCTTAAAAAAAAACTATATGAAACAGGGACAGAAAGTTATATATAACTGGCTGAGATGAAAAGACAATAGGATAAAATGAGAGCGGAAGTGAGAGAAATATAAGCACCATAGCAAATTAAAATAACCATTTGAGACAATATGGAAGAGAAACTAAGCTATAGAACATCTTATCAGACTGTCCTTTTTAATACAGAGGACAAACTTTAAAAGGTCTCCAGAATACAGAAGAGAAAGCCGGAACCAATGAGAAGTGGTGCTAACTACAGGGAAAGGGTAAGGGGAGCCAGGGTAAGAATAAGTGTTTCTGAGAATCAAGAACAAATGGAACAGAAGCAATTAAAACTGTAACTGAAGGAAAATAGGCCCAGTGCCATAGCTCATGCCTGTAATCCCAGCACGTTGGGAGGCCGAGGCAGGATGATTGTTTGAGGCCAGGAGTTTGAGACCAGCCTGGGCAATATAATAAGATCCCCTCTTTACAAAAAATTTAAAACTTAGCTGGGCGTGGTGGCATGCACCTCTAGTTCCAGCTATTGGGGAGGCTGAGGTGAGAGGATTGTTTAAGTCCAGGACTTTGAGGGCTGCAGTGGGCTATGATCGAGCCACTGCACTCCAGCTTGGGCGACAGGGTGAGACCCAGTCTCTAAAACAAATGAAGGCCGGGCGCAGTGGCTCAAGCCTGTAATCCCAGCACTTTGGGAGGCCGAGACGGGCGGATCACAAGGTCAGGAGATCGAGACCATCCTGGCTAACACGGTGACACCCCGTCTCTACTAAAAAGTACAAAAAACTAGCCGGGCGAGGTGGCGGGCACCTGTAGTCCCAGCTACTCGGGAGGCTGAGGCAGGAGAATGGCGTAAACCCGGGAGGCGGAGCTTGCAGTGAGCTGAGATCCGGCCACTGCACTCCAGCCTGGGCCACAGAGCGAGACTCTGTCTAAAAAATAATAATAATAATAAAATAAAACAAATGAAAAATAAAAATAAGAATAAGCTGAAAGTCAAAAAAACAAAAAAGACTGAGTGGGCTCCCTGTGTTCCAGTGGAGAGTAGGGGTGGGGGGAATCAATGAAGAAATAATGGTATTGTGTTTTTTGTTTGTTTGTTTTTTGAGACAGGGTCTCACTCTCTCACACAGGCTGGAGTTCACTGGCTTGATCATAGCTCACTGCAACCTCAAACTTATGAACTCAAGTGATCCTCCCACCTCAGCCTCCCAAGTCGCTGGGACTACAGGCATGCACCATCACACCCAGCTAATTTTTGTACTTTTTGTAGAGACAAGGTTTCGCCATGTTGCCCAGACTACTTTTGAACTCCTGGGCTCAAGCAATCCTCCCACCTCAGCCTCCCAAAGTGCTGGGACTACAGGCATGAGCCACTATGCCTGGTTGATATTGCTTTTAAGATAGGAAGAAAGAAAAAATCAATTTAAAACTATGTACACTGTTTACAATAATTACATGTATAAGAGCTAACATACACAGGACAAATACTGGAAAAGGTATAATGAAATGGTAACGGGTTATTATAAGTTGTGGGTGCAACAGAAGGGTGAACCTCTCCCCCTTTAGAAACAAGGGATACACCATGGTTCTCAGAGAGCTGAACTATGAGAGGACATAAGAAATAAACTGAAAGAGGTTAACTTATAGCCCAGGCTACTATCCATATGACTATAATAATATACCTACAGAAAAGGTCAAGTAAAATTGCTATCGACTGAACCACACAGAATCAAAAAAAGAGAACTACAGAAGTAAATGCTCCTGCAGCATTAGGTGGGGGAAGTTAGCCAAAGGAATTTGAGTCTTCTGACCTTAAGGGTGAGAGCATTGCTTCTGTGGAGATGGCTATAGGCAAAGTTATCCCTATCAAAGCCTGATGCCAGTAAACACTGATTTTACACTCTACCTGTCTAACCCCCTTGTTCTGATTCCATGGTCATTAAATGACCTTCTGACTATGATTCTGTTTCATGTGTAATTATATCCAAAGGAAGAGTATGTGCTGATCAAGCACCTACATGTTTAACCTATGAGATGGCAACTCCTTGTTATAAATTAATAAATTGGATTATCACGGGAAAGAATGTGCTAATTTATGTATTTATTTGAGACAGGGTCTTGCTCTGTTGCCCAGGCTGGAGTGCTATAGCTCAATCATAGCTCACTGCAGCCTCAAACTCTTGAGCTCAAGGGATCCTCCTGCTTCAGTCTCCTGAGTAGCTGAGACTACAGGCATGTGCCACCATGCCCAGCTAATTTTTTTTATTTTTTGTAGAGACGGGGTCTCACCATGTTGCCCAGACTAAGAATATGCTTAAATTTATAAGACTAAGTATTCAAGTGTTAGGAAAGCCATTTAAGTTTACTGGTTAAAGACATGGGCTTTGGAATCACAGAAATACAAGTTTAAATCTTAGTTCTGCCACCTGCTGGCTGTGCAATCGCAGCTATAAAATGAGGGTAGTATCTGTCTTGGGGATTAATAGTGTTAAACAGGACAATGCATGCAAAGTACTTAGCACAGTGTTTGGCACATAGTAGGTGTCCAGTAAATAGTTGTTGAATAAACAAAATGAATATACTTGATCAATAAATGGTTATTATTTAAAATTTGGAATTTAAATGAGCTCAGTTCATGCATGCCTTCTTCTAAAAGACAGATCCAACCTTAGGGCGCTGGGCAAAAATCAGAGTTTTGGACTTAACTAACTTGAAGACCAGACTCTTCCAGACTTTGATAATTTTCCACCATTCTCTAAGAGGCCTTTTGAGAAAAAGACTGAGAATCTTGTTTTTCCTGGTTTTAATACTCTGGGTAGTAGGATTATGAGTAACTGTTTTCCTTTCTATTGTTTTAAATTGTCTATAATACAAAAAAGTCCTTTTTATTACCTAAGTAATTTTTTTAAATTACCACAAAAATTTGGAAAAAGAAAAGATAAATAATAAAGAATAAATAAAGGAAAGCTGGAAATAAGGTTTGGCACTAAAATGCACTGCAGTAAGGTGCCACAGATTTGCTAAAGGTATCAAGGAAATTCATCCCTACATTTTCTATCAGACTTCTAAAAAAAAAAAAACAAAATCGATGAGCATCACAGCATCTATAAGATAAAAATAAGGTAAGGGCCCATAAGAAGCACAGCCATTCTTATTAGTAAACCAGGAGAGAAATTCTTCCCACAGGTATTCATTAAAGTGTTTCTTCTTTAAGTGAGCCACTGGCAAAATGTCAGAACACAAAGTCTAAAATGTAAACTCTGGACCAATTCAAGGGCACTGTTGTTTCTGAATTACAGAAACAAAACAAAGTAAAACCCGAACCTCCTCTGAAGTTGATTTCTTCCATAAAATCGTCACATAACACAAACTGTGGAAATGGTGTTAGATGTATTTGATATATGACACACTTTTCCTCAAAATAACGTATCAACATGAAATACCTAAAGACAGTGCAAAAGAAAATAAATAAAACCTGAAAAAAAAGTTTTTTCAGACCTTTTTTTGACCAAATGCAAAGAATATATTAATAACTCCTTCTTTTTTTTTTTTTTTTTTTTTTTTGAGACAGGGTCTTGCTCTGTCACCCAGGCTAGAGTGCAGTGGCACGATCATGGCTCACTGAAGCTTCAACTTCCCAGGCTCAGGTGATCCTCCCACCTCAGCCTCCTGAGTAGCTGGGACTACAGTCTCGTGCCACCACGCCCAGTTTATTTTTTTGTAGACATGGGGTTTTGCCATGTTGCCCAAGCTTGTCGCAAACTCCTGGACTCAAGTGATCCATTCGCCTCAAAAGTGCTGGGATTACAGGTATGAGCCATTGTGCCCAGCCTTATTAAAACTTCTTAGTGGTAGATGAACAAAATAACCTTCTTTACTAGAATTAACTGAGAGCTCACATTACTTGTTTACTTTAAATTACAAAATAGTTTAAAAACAGAAGGCAGAAATGTCACTGTTACAGGATCAATTCCATATTTTGGAAGAAATATGTAAGTTAGGATTTATATTTTCTAACATAAAATATAGTCTAGATCTTACCAGTTGATTCCATTTTCTTACTAAATGCTTCTGGGTATTCATCTAAGAAGAAATCTGGTTGCAAAGGATGACCTGAAAAATTGACCCCAAACCATTAGGTTAATGTAACTACAACATAGTAAGATTTTAACATCTGTTTAGTAAACACATCTGTTTCATTAAAAATCATTCTGGTGCAACAGAAAAGGCCTCCATGAGAACTGTCGAATGACCTGATCTTCATTCAATTAATTTTCTCATAATTCAGTTATCCTCCTCTCCTCTGATAAATTTTATCTTCAAGATTTAATCCCCAAAAGATCACCTGTTCTGTAAAGCCTTTACCTGCTCTCCCAGGAACCTTTGCCCTTCTCATCCTACACTGCTCTTCTGGCCCACATTCTTCCAAAGTGCTCAGGACTCATTTCTTACCTGCCCTCCTAAGAGCAGAGGGCCCCTTCTTAAGAAGGACTTTCTTCTCAGCATTAGTGCATTTGGGTCTCTTCTCTCTCTCCCTCTTCCTCTCACTCCATCATCATGAAAACTAAGCTATCCTATTCCATCCATTCCACTGGGTTATTATTATTATTATTATTGACACAGGGTCTCACTGTCACCCAGGCTGGAGTGCAGTGGCACGATCTCGGCTCACTGCAACCTCCACCTCGTGGGATCAAGTGATCCTCCTCCCTCAGCCTCCCAAGTAACTGGGACCACAGGTGCAAGCCACCATATCCAGCTAATATTTATTTATTTATTTATTTATTTATTGAGATGGAGTCTCGCTCTGTCACCCAGGCTTGAGTACAGTGGCACAATCTCGGCTCATTGCACCCTCTGCCTCCCAGGTTCAAGCAATCCTCCTGCCTCAGCCTCCCAAGTAGCTGGGATTACAGGTGCCCACCACCAGGCCTGGCTAATTTTTGTATTTTTAGTAGAGACAGTTTCACCATATTGGTCAGGCTGGTCTCGAACTCCTGACCTCAAGATATCCACCCACCTTGGTCTCCCAATGTGCTGGGATTATGGGCATGAGCCACCGCACCCGACCACTCATTTTTATTTTTTGTAGACAGAGGGTTTTGCCATGTTGCCCAGTATGGTCTTGAACTCTTTGGCTCAAGTGATCTGCCGGCCTTGGCCTCCCAAAGCGCTGGGATTACAGGTGTGAGCCACTGCACACAGCCTCCACTGGGTCTTATTTTCAGCTAAAGGTTGTGGTTAGCAAATAGGCTAACTGTTTTAATTACACTGATAACTCCAAGACACGTGCACACTAGAAGATTTAAAGGCCACAAAGCCTTCAAAACTATAGTACAGTGAGATGTTAACAATCTCAATTGCTCTCTTTTTCTTTTCCTTTTTTTTCTTTTCTTTTCTTTTTTCTTTTTTTTTTTTTTTTGAGATGGGGTCTTGCTGTTTTGCCCAGGCTGGTCTCAAACTTCTGGGCTCAAATGAGCCTCCTGCCTCAGTCTCCTGTCTCTCTCTTTTTCAGAAGTTTAAGCAAACTTCTGGAGGGCAGGAATGAATTCATCTTTGTTGTATCCTAATATCATAGTATCTGGTCATACTAAGTTCTCAATACTTGATAGGATTTTTAATTTAAATAAAATTTTAAAACTTGTGCACAATTACACTGTGTCTTTAAAACCTAAAGTAATAATTATATTCCTGGGTACCAGGACCCAGAAGACCCAAATCTAGTCAGGTTCTGCCGCCTATTAGCCATCTGCTCTTAGGCAAAGGCTCAATCTCTCTGAGCCTGTTTTTCCACTTGTAAATATTAACTACTAAATATTCTGAGTGTACTATATGCTGGGCACTGTGTCAAAAACATACGTTATCACATTTAGTCTTTACAAAAATCTTGTATGAAATGTATCGTTCTCTTAAGTTTACCAGTATGGACATTAAGGCTGAGACAGACAAACTGGGTGACACGCTCAAAGCTGCATAGCAGTGAGCAGCAGAGCTGCAATATGAACCTGGCTTGTCTTCTCCCAAATTCCATGTTCTTAATCACTAAGCATTACTTCCCTTACAGAATTGTTATGCAGGCTAAATAGATAATGCATATAAGAGTGCTTTATAAAACTATAATCTGCTATTTAATTCAGTTGGAACTGCAGAGATGAGCAGGGATGATACAAATATAAACATGGTTTGTGTCATTTAGAAGCTCAGCTTAATGAATAATATTTAAAATATACTTTACCATAAATTAAATTTACTTCTATATATGGCTATATTAGAATACATCATATTCTATATGGTAAAAATCCATTATTATCATTATCATCCACGATTTCAGAGAGAGAGAGTTACTTAAAAAGAGGGCTTTCTGGAAGCTTCTCAGATCACTTTACTACACCATGCCCACTCATCTACACCATCTGTCATTAAGCTACTCTAAGAGACTGCACTTAAGAGACAAATATTTACAGAGTCCACAATCATAAATTATTTTAAACAAAAAAATTCATGACTGGGCCAGGTGCAGTGGCTCACACCTGTAATCCTAACACTTTAGGAGGCCAAGGCAGGCAGATCACTTGAGCTCAGGAGTTCAAGACCAGCCTGGGCAACATGGTGAAATCCCACATCTACAAATATAAAAATTAACCAGGTGTGGTGGCACATGCCTATAGTCCCAGCTACTCAAGAGGCTGCGGTGGAAGGATTGCTTGAGCCTAGGAGGTGGAGGTTGCAGTAAGCTGAGATCGTGCCACTGCACTCTAGCCAGGGTGACAGAGTGAGACCCTTTCTCAAATAAATAAATAACCCACTACTGTACCATCTGTCACCACATATTCTTGAACAAAATCTTTACTCTGTGATTTTAAGACCAACTTTAAAAAATAATTTTCATTTCTTATTTCGAGATTTGGAAGTGGCTAGTAGCTGATCTGACTTTCTGTGCTTATATATATCACTTCAAAAGCCCTCAACTCACCTCTATTTTTTATTCATCTTTTTTTTTAAGTTGTGTTGGTATGGGTTTTTTTCCTTCACTGGGAAGACAGCTTTTAAAATAACATACTCATTTTACGATCACGCAAACACAAAAAACAGATGTGTTCATAGCAGAAAATATGGAAAAACATATTGTTACTTTTAAAAACTATACAAGTATTACCTGGTTTAATTGCATAGATGTCAAAATTTTGTATTCCTTCTGCTTTTAAGATATTTTCATCAATGACAAAGTTGCCAGTAAAACTTTTTGGCTTTTGGAAAATGGAATATGCTGCATCTGCAATGATATCCACTTTTCTACACTGGCTTTCGATACCAGGTCCTCCCAGCATCTCCGTAGCAGCAGTGTGTATGGCTGTAGAGAAAACACACACACACATACACTCGTAACTCCAAATCAAATAATAAAACTATGGAAGTAACAAGCAGTACCCTTCACAATTATCAAGGCTAATTCTTTCATTTCTTAGATGATGAAAACAAGGTCCAGACTGCTTAAGGGATTTGCCAAATTTTTTTGTTGTTTTTTGTTGTTTTTGTTTTTGTTTTGGAGACAGTCTTGCTCTGTCGCCCAGACAGGAGTGCAATGGCGTGATCTCCGCTCACCGCAACCTCCACCTCCTGGGTTCAAGCAATTGAACCCAGCCTTCCATGTAGCTGGGATTACAGGCGTGCGCCACCACGCCCAGGAAATTTTTTGTATTTTTAGTAGAAACGGGGTTTCACCATGTTGGCCAGGCTGGTCTCAAACTCCCGACCTCGTGATCCATCCACCTTGGCCTCCCAAAGTGCTGGGATGACAGGCGTGAGCCACTGGGCCCGGCCCCAGAATTTGCCAAATGTTCCACAGAGAGAACTGGGTAGAAAACACATGTTCCTTACTCTGTGCAACCCTGCCTTATACTACAGACTAAACCAGAAGACTCACAGTAAAATTCAATGAACTTTCTGATTTAGAATGCTCAAGAATTTGCATGTCTTTTAAAGGAATAACTGAAGAGACCTCTAATAGCTTCCAATTGATTCTCTTGATAACAGCTAAGAGATTACTGCCTGAAAACAGACAGTACCACCAGTCTTAATACCCAAAATTTCCTTTCACATAAACATATGGAGTGCATATGAGGCTTAAAACATCAGCATTGCCTGTGATGACTCCTTCTCTGGGAAGAGAGCTTGTTTTGCCTCTTTAACACCTGTCAGCCACCACCAACCACATGCACACATTCTTGTGGGAATTCACTGAACCAACAATGCCACTGATTATAAAGTGCACCATTATGTTAGGGACCACTGAGGAAACAAAAAAGCTGCCAATTAAATTATGATATATCATTCATTGTAAGATACAGACTGGTATCAGAGATGTACAAATATAATACATGGGCATCTCAGCATCAATGAAAATGGTATAAACTCTTTCACCTAGTCAGTGAATAGGTTCCTTGAAAAACACTCAATAAATATTGCTTGGATTTCTGGGGGTCCTTTTTAAATTCAGACAACTCTGTTCTGTAGAAAATATTAGAAAATAGCCAGGTGCGGTGGCTCATGCCTGTAATCCCAGCACTGTGGGAGGCCAAGGTGGATGGATCACTTGAGGTCAGGAGTTCGGGACAAGCCTGGTCAACATGGTGAAACCCCATCTCTACTAAAAATACAAAAATTAGCCAGGCATGGTGGCGAGTGCCTGTAGTCCCAGCTACTTGGGAGGCAGAGGTAGGAGGATCGCTTGAATCTGAGAGCCAGAGGTTGTAATGGGCTGAGATTACTCCAGTGTACTCCAGCCTGGGTAACAGAGTGAGACTCCGTCTCAGGAAAAAAAAAAAAAAAATGGAAATAAAGAGAAGTAAAAGGAAAAATTGCTTAATTAATTATAATTTCCCTATCCAGGGATACCTGCTGTTAATATTTGCATATAATTTTTACTATGTTAGCTGTACTTTTAAAAATTATGTGTCTTATATGAAGTAACTTGAAACTCTACAATTAACAGTACATTATTAATTACACATTGTCAACAGTAACATCTCAATTTGCTTACATAGTTTACATCAAACAAGAAAAGTCTATTTATTTATTTTCCAACATAATTCATAGGTTCATAGAAAGTCTATTTATTTAAATGTACTTAGGTTTTTGAGTTTCTAGTACTTTAGATAAAACTTATTTCCATACATTGTTAAAATACAATTTTTAATTATTATATGCTAGAATAACTTACATATTTTGGTCTATAAGATGAAATGTCTGTAGCTTTTAAGGGCCATTGGCCCTTTTGCATTCACTCAACAAATAGTTATGAAGCACTTACTATATATAAGTCAGGCGCTATTCTAGATTTTTTTTTTTTTTTTTTTTTTTTTTTTTTTTGAAAGGGGGGTTTTCTGTTTTGCCCAGGCTGGTCTCAAACTTCTGGGCTCAAATGAGCCTCCTGCCTCAGTCTCCTGTCTCTCTCTTTTTCAGAAGTTTAAGCAAACTTCTGGAGGGCAGGAATGAATTCATCTTTGTTGTATCCTAATATCATAGTATCTGGTCATACT